AGGCAAGTTTATAGAAGCGTTTGACGCAAGACCTTTGGGATACTCCAGCAAAAGCTGTCGAACACGATGTAAAGCCAACAATATCATATAAATGACATGGGTAGGTTGACGTTTGACACATAAGCTAATCTCTACTAATATTACAACTATGGACGAGCAACAAGGACAGTCAACAATGTATATTATCGATTTTATTGGTATAATAGAAATCGATGATTTCAGGACATTGTTAGGGCATGTGTGGTGTTAGCGTAAAAATTAGCATTCCTGTACATGCAACTTACCGTGTCTTGTGTAAGCTTCTTGTAGCCCGTCTGAAAAGATAAAGTTGTCAACTCAATAAATTTTTATTCTTGCAAATCTTGCACAAACACAAATATTATTGATTTATCGATAGATAGGCGAACTCGTAATAGTAAAAGACCAACAATATCAGTCATCTATAAAAATTCAGTCCTAATCATATTAATGACGTCAGTGCATTGAATTTGTTTATCAATGCAACATGCGTTGAAAAGTAAAGCATTGCGATGTTAACAATATTTCATAGGTTATAAAGCTCTGAATCCATATGAACATATGAGATTTATTAATCACCTCATCACTGGTTACAAGAACGATAGACGATTTTTTCCTATTAATTAATTTAACCGATACGTTTACAATAAGATCATCTGTGAAACATATAGAAATTCGTTTACCCGTCAAGATCAATTTGAATGTCTTAACCCGGCTTACTTTACAAACGAATATAGGCTTTCTAGATAAGATTAGTCAATGAGATTCTATATATTGACTACTACTTAATTGCACAGAGGTGAAAATTTTACAAGAAAGCAAGTATTCGTTATTGATGATTGAGCCAGTCCAATTGTATTCATCAGCGCTAGCCAATGAGCTTCCGATGTGCGCCATCGCAATTCGGGCCACCATTTCGTCCAAAATTGTTCAGTGGCGTCATATTGGATAAATTCCCGGTAGATGACTTCTTGCGATGCTTGTTGTGCTGATGCTTGACACTTAACACGGACGGCTTCACTTCGTGGGCCTAAAATATTCTTATCACCTAGAAAATTTGTGAATAAGTTACTGTTTGTAGCAAATGTATGAGTTGATTCAAGTCACAATACAAAGATGTTTGTTTACTTTCCTTGAATAGTCTCATTGCCTACCTGTAGTACTCGTCTCCTCTTTTTTGGCAACTTGGCACGAGCTTGTGAATGTGAGTAAAGATTGGAGAAATTTGACACAATGACCGGAACCGGCAAGGCGATTGTTAGCACACCCATTAAAGCACATAATGATCCAACCAACATACCAAGGTAGGTACGAGGAACCTTAATTTCTAAAATTCTTATGGACAACAGTGGCAATTTTTAAAAGTGAAATAGGGAAAAAAAGAACAAAAAGTTTGATTGACAATTTTCTCGATTTTTATATTTATTTCTCATCTGTAAATAGAATTTGCTACGTAATAGAGGAAAGGAAAAATTGTTCCTTCATCATAGATAATTAGAATATGCAGGCATATGCTCGAAAGTTCAGAAAACAAAAAACACTTACCATATCACCGAACCCGACAGTGGAAATTGTGATGAGACTCCTGAATTTGAGAATAAAGAGAAATCAGTAGTACAAAAC